GCATGCGCAGATGTCTGTTACGCTCTATTAGTTCGTAGTAGACTGGCCGCGTAGTCAAAACGAAAAATGCCTAATAATATCAATATGAATACTTATACTTATATAGCGCACAATCTGCCTCAAAAAAGAATATACTCACGGCGCTTATTTCACTATAAAGTTATAAAAAGACTGCTTTGAATGTCATTTCATAAAATATATGAGTTCAGGAAAAACTTCCAGAATTGAAACTGTCGCTCTGTCTATGCAAGGAGGTTAAAATAACCTCCTTGGTCTATGCAACCATGTATATGCAGATACTCCAATAGTTTCCACCCTTGGCCTGTCCCTTGGGCTGCTACTGTGCACTACCTAGTGGTGGAGGTGGATTTTTATTACATTAACAATAATATTTTTCTAATGGCTTGGATATTTTTCTTCTATATTTATATAGGCTGATAAAATCCTCATTGCTATCATCATTCTGAATATTTTTGAATGTTTCATTTCTTTCACTTGTTGATGTCTTAATGTCATTGTTATGTGTTGAATTAAATGTTTGAATGTGTGTGGGATGACTTTGATAATGACTCACAGCAGTACTGTCTTTGAAATGAAAGTAGGCCACTTAAAATGAACTCTAGTTACTCTACCCCAGTAAACCTCATTCGTGGGTCATAGGTCATCGCTGATAGTGACATAGTTTGCTGTGAACTTCAAACAAAACGACAGACATTTTAGACTAGACCATGTAAACAAATCTTAAAATTATTTAATATCTGAAATATATTTAATTTTTTTTCATAGTTAATTATACAAACAAGCTACTAAAAATTACTGCACTCCAGGCTGAAGAGAAAGGATCAAGCACCTTTACTTCTAATGAAACACAGATTGAAACAATTTAGTTTTTGCTGATTAACGAACCGTTTTGCTGTAAACATCCTTACAGTATAAATTAATTACCAGGCAAATTAAGAATCTATGAAAATAGGGAAGGTAATATGTATCTGCATGATTTTTTTGTTCTTATTTTGTTACAACTGATAACTTACATTACAAAGGAAGAAATTGTATTGTTTATTATTAGCTATATAAACAGAATATCGTGGTTGATATATCATTAATAATGATAATAATTATTCAAAACTTGCACAACACAAACGGTGGCATATCTAGGAGTTTTGATATGGGGTGGGGACTCATGGGGAGTGTGAAGGTAAAGTGGGGGCCTAGGGGCAATAGTTCTCAATATGGATAAAACTCAATAATTCTAATTTTAACAGATGTTAATTAATGAATGATTGAGGATTATAATAATCAAATAATCATTTTAGGGTTACCGGTAACTATTCGAAAGTTCAATCCAAAATCAGAGTAATTTTCAGTTTTACGCTGCTTTAGCTTTACATTCGAACCAATTGATCATCTGACAAAATTATAATGAACACCAAGTAATTGTAACAGAAATATTTTGCGGAATCTTTTCCTGAATATACACATAATAACATACTAAAAGTCCAAAAAAATCCAATTAGGGAAACTTATAAAGATACTTAATGAGTTAAAATCAAACAGGTTATCGCACAACTGCTTTGTTGGAAGCGTGTCGCATGTCGTTGCCAAGTTGTTGCTAACGAAAGTGTGAATAATAAGATAATACGCCCGCGCGCGATCCAAGGGCAGGGAACACATTGGTTTGTCGCATCAAAGGGATCTGTTGCCGAGTGATCTTCTCAATAATACCTCCATGTTAAAACATGCCACAAAGCAAAAAAATCAATAAACCACAAAATGATTTTTTTTTTTTAACTAGAGCATCTTACACTTGAATTGATTTCTTGGTGTAACTAATACTTATTGTTCCAGTATATATCTTTTGTATGGACCGTTAATGTACTGTATCCTTAAATTAGCTTATAAAATAAGCAATTTAATATTTTAATTAAAAATTTAAATTTTTTTTGTTTGTGATCACAGTTAATAATATCTCAGCCAAGCATTACCTTTCATGCATTTTTATGACAATAAATAAATAAATAGATTTAAATAAATATATTTTTTAGTCTTGAAACTTGAAGGTATTGGCTGGGCCCCTGAGTTATTCAAAGAGCTGAGCAAGGATAACCGTAGGCCCGAGCCTATGGAGAGGGTTTTGGAGGGAGTGTCCGCCCTCCCTAATGAGATTTTTTTTTTTAAATAGGGGCCTTGGATAGCCGGTAATGGCACTCTCAGACCTGAAAAATACTTTTAAATGTAAAGTTGATAAATACAATTGTTACTATACTCTCAAACTCAACTCAATAAACACATATTTCATTTATTTAAGCCTATATTTTTGTTTCTTTAGTTTATTCCGACTGCCCAACAAACTCTGGCCGGTGTAGGGAGTTTGACCTGTCTGATGGGAGGGGGTGGGGCTTAAGTCCATCCCAGCCTGAAAGTAGTTAAATTTTACGAAAATAATTGCATAAAACTAGGAATTTAATATTTTGATACATACAGTAATATACTTCAACATACTTTCTGAAACTGATTCAGTTTCGAAATAATGTTCGCAAACATCTCATTTACCTTTCAAAACTGATTAAATTTCAAAATAATTTCACACACATATAATTTTTTCTCTCTACACCTCCATGTGTCCAATTAACTTTTGATAATTTAATTCTAGATCAATATGAGTAGATGTGTTTTAACTTTAGTTGGAGTTGATAAATAGGATACATTGTTTTGGTTCTTTAATTTCTCAATGATGTAACGTAAGATTTGTCGTTTGATAAGAAAAAAAATTATGTAATTTTCACTTAGCTCTTCATGAAATCCACCAAGGATACTTGTCCTTAACTTTTATCACAAGGACCAGGACTTTTTATTTTGTTTTTGTTGTGAGATATTTTGATGTCAGAGTGGATTAATATGACCCATAGTAGTGGTTCAATGACTGAGAAGAGAACCCTGGCTTGTGATGGATAAGAAATCAGTAGTCGCAGTCATAAACTACAGCCAACTCCCCAGAGACCTACAATATCCCAGTGCTTCAGAAGAGGATGTCCTATATCATTAGATTGCAATTCCTTGACTAGGCAGTGGATTGAAAGTGACTTTAGGCCAATAAGTAGCAAGCACTTCCAATAGGCAATGAACAAACAGAGCCAGATTTTCGCTGCTGAAATCAGGAGATTAAACTTTAAAAGAGAAATAGCATTACCTAGGGCGCAGAAGCTCCTGTGACGTTGGCTATTCTAGGTGGGGGTGTACTGTAAACCGGTTCCAGATTGCTAGCTTAACTCAAGCAGCCGTTGTAAGTACATGCTCAAAGTTTGTTTAGACTGTGACAGAGATTCACAAGCACTCACGATGATGGCATCACAGGCTAGCTACGGGTCATCGAAGCGAACCCAGTATTTCGTAAGCATTTTTTTTTTGTTAAGCATGCATTCACCTTTGTTGTTATTGCGGATGTACTTAATATTCCGATAATTGATGCGCTATGTACAACTTTCGGTATTGAATGCATCCAGGCTGTCAAGTTGTTCTGCTGTGATAAGATTTGAAGGCAGGTGGTAAGGACTCCAATTGTGTTGTAGGGCTGCTTTCTCAAGCCTTTCATTGTTTCCGTCTGTTTTCGGAGGCGTTTCAAAAAGCATGTAATGGACAGGATATTGAAATCTGTGATAACACCTGGATGCGTTTGAAAAGTGATGTTCTTTAAAAATGAAAGGTCTGTATATTATGACCTCTCATCAAAGAACTAGAACAATGCAGATGTCAAATAATGCCAATACGCGTTATTGTTAAATATCTTTGGAACCAATGCTGTAACTGTCGACCTCCATTCTATGTCTCTCCGTCTCGTTTTGTGTTTCTCCTGAATTTTCATTGTGTTTTATTGTGTGTACTTTGTGAGAATATTACTTATCTTTAGCATGTTCTCTCACCAAGGTGGTACCAGCAATAGGAACTCTTGTAACATTAATAAAATTGTGTATTTTGGTTGTAATCTATGGTAATGACTAGGGCCTATTGCTATTAATATAAGAATACAGAGAAAGCAGGTTAGATTAGTTAGCTAAACTGCTGACAACCATTTTGCCCACCAAGAAAAGGCATTAACTAAGAAAATCTTAGTTTTAAGAAAATGAGCATTTTTTGGAGTATGGTATTTGTAGTAGTGTGTGCAGATAAAGCCCATTTTAAAAATTGAATATCATATTTACAGCTACATTTTTGGGTATTTTGTGAATTAAGGTGGTAGATTAATACCACCAGGAGTCCAAAGCCAAAAACCTCAATTTTGAAAAAATGCAGTTATTGCCTTTTCTTGGAGAAGGGCAGCATTATGTGTGTGTGCTGAACCATGGAGGTCTTTACACCCCCTTGGTCACTGGATAAATTATCCGCTTCTATCCTTTTGTTTTAGCTAGAGGGTTGAAATGCAATTTTTCAAATCAAATTATATTTTATTTTTTCAAACAAATGCTGAAACCAAGGAGACAAGCCTGTATACAGGTTCCGTTAACTACAGTACGGTAACTTAAACACAAAATCTTTGAAAAAGTTTCAATAGCCTGCCATCTTTTTACATTTTTAGGTGATTGACCCTGTGTGCAGCATAGCCCCTATATGTGTAACATTAAAGAAAGCAGGGCATTTTCTGTTGTACTACCCAAATCCTAATGCGTGTCATACTGAAAAAGGTCCAAAGAAGAAGTCCTAAAAAAATGATTTACAACCTTGTAATTGCTCATTGAAAAAGATAGTTATCAAATTCTAATGAGACAAAAACTGAAAAAAATTACAAAATTAAAATTATTTAATATTCCTTCTTGTAACACCTTTTTATACTGTTTAATCATAGACCCTAAGAGTCGAAGATTGAAAAACAAATTTTTTAACTACAAAATTTAAATTATTTAATATTCTTTCTTATAACATTTTTACTGTTTAATCATAGACTCTATCATGGTTTTAAAATTAACAATATAGTATTTTTAATTTTCTCATTTTTATTTTTGCAGCTAGAAGAACAACATCTTGACAAGAAGACATTCATTGTAATGAACGAAGACAAATATATTGTTAATAGAATAATTACACAAGGAGAGGTAGGTAAAATAGGCCCTCTGTGATTGCTTACTGTTGTATAATTATTATAATTACTTTCCATGAGTTTGTTCCTTGCATATGCAAATCACTACAATTACAAGACCTTGATATCCAGTTTTATTTATTCATTTGCAAAATATTTATTCAATGTACAACATACAAAAGACAGCTCCCAATTTTGTATTTGTTTGAATAGCATTCACAATTGAGAAAATTGATAACTCACATACTGCAAATTTTTGTGTTGTATAGTATAATAATACAGTAATAATAATAGGCCCTCTGTGATTGGTTACTGTTCTATAATTACTTCTGTGAGTTTGTTCCTTGCATATGCAAGTCCCTACAAGACCTTGATATCCAGTTTTATTTATTTATTTGCAAAATATTTATTCAATGTACAACATACAAAAGACCGCTCCCAATTATGTATTTGAATAGCATTGACAATTGAGAAAATTGGTAACTCACAGACTGCAAATTTTTTGTGTAGTATAGTATAATAATAATAATAATACAGTAATAATAATAATAAAAATTTTATTTGTGTCTAAGAATTAAATATGTGGACCCGCCCCCCCCCCCATTCTTGACCACCTCCAAGGAGTTATCGGTGCACAGAGCGAGGTAATTTCAATTTGCAACAAGAAAAGAGATCCAGTTGTACTGTATATCCACAAGAGGAAATGCAATAGATTGAAATTACTACGCGGACCGTGTGGCACATATTGGGGTGTACCTACGCCCATTGGCACAAAGAGTTTTCCGATGATCTCGGAAAAATTTATTTCATTATAGGAACAATTGTTAACCTCAATGGGATTTTTTAACAAGGCCGAAAATCAACAAAACAGAAATAAAAATGTTGTACAGGGCTGAGTATGTTGATCTTGTAGTGCTAACTATGGTCATAATTTGTATTATAATGTAATACAATTTCATACACTTTAAATGTGCTATTATATTAATGTTATTATACTGCTATTATTATTATTATTGTTATTTATTTAAAATTTATTTATTTACTTTTTTTTTTTTGCAGTGTAACATACTTAAAGCATTTTCTTTCTTATTTTGTAACTTCCTGTTAACTGCGGCCATTGTATTTTTTGTTGACTATTGTACTGTTTATATAGTTATTTGAAATTGGGGAAAAAAAATTGTTGCTATACATATTTTTTGTGCTTGTTGATAAGAAAACTGCAGTGTAAATGTATAAATATAACACATGAAAGGGTCGCTGGCATGAAAAATTTAGCATGCAACCATTTCCTTGTTAAACTACTATTACTTATTTTTTATAGATTTATTTAAAAAAATAATAATTGTTTTCTATTATAGCAAGTGTTTAGGCATGTTGAGACTTACAGTTCAGAGACCATGCATGGATTCATCTCTGAAGGTATGTACAATATGTTTCAGTCTCACAAATGTGTCAGTCTTTGATTTGCCCATACAAATGTTTTCTTTGCAATGTAAATATTTTTCATATGATATATATGTGGCGATGTCAAGCCAAAACGGTCGGAAGTCGCTAAGACGATTTTAAGATATAAAGGCAAAACAATAGACAAGGTCAAATTTGCTCATTTTGGTGTTTCATAAAAACATTTATATTAAAGTATCTAAGAATAGGATTCAAATAATATTTTTCACATTTAAGTACCAAAAATACTGTAAAACGTGATTTTAGTTAGACACTCGAACATGGAAGTATGAAAAACGAAGGCAAATCATCGTTTAAAATACTCACGAAATTACTGTTTTTTTCAATCGTGTTCTGGGGTCAAACTCGTGTCAAGTTTGATATCGTTGGAAAACTTAGAATGTCAGCTACAATTTTGATTGGTCAGTTCATTCTCACAAATTGTTTAACCAATCAAAACAGTCGTTTTGGTACTGTAAACAATTCGGAAGCGGCCTAGCAACAAACAGAAACACGCATGCTGATTGGTCTAATCCAGTCAGCTGACCATTTTTGAGGCGTGTCTAAGACCGCGTCGCTTGGGTTTTCGATGGAAGCGTCGGCAAGGTAGTAGTGCGCGTTACATGTTTTCATCGAAGTTCGAAGTTACTTGTTTATTGCTGTAATAATTATAAAACAATAACACTGTTTCTTTTACACAAGAAAGTTCGGTAGTACAGGTACATGCAAAATGGGCTATACTGTATAACACAGACTTGATAAAGTTGACGACGAATAAAACGCGTTCTGTAATAGTTGAACACACTGGTTTCAAGGTCGCAGTGTTCGATTTCCAGTTGTGTACAGTAAAAACAACCATCACATTTGAATCCGTAATATCACATTTATTAATGAATGTAAGTACATGAAACTTGGTACAGTTATAAAATACATTATGTAAAATGTTTCTGCGAAATTTCATTTCAATCGGTCAATGGTAACACCTCCGTTGTTAACTAAGTATCGAACACACCGAACACATGTGAGTGAGCTACACGCTGAGCGCACTGCCAGCGACTGGGCGTTATAAGCATCAGTTTTATTGCCGTTTCTTCAAAACAGTAACTGCTAACCTCGCGCTATATAAATCGGTATAACTTTAAAACTAAGTATCAGAATTTAATAATTTTTTCACTGTTTTATTTATTATAATGTGATTATTCAGTTGATGGTGTTAAATAAAAATTGGTTTTTCCGACTTCCGACCGTTTTTGCTTGACATCGCCACGTATTTAGAATTTAATACACTCTGTTGCGATTGCAATCAACAAACGCATTCAGACCAACACAAACAAACTTTACATTCTAGGGCCTATGCCTCCGGTGGCTAGGCCTATGTTGACTGACCTCAGCCAAACAGTGCCTGTGGAAGTCGTTGCGATCGGATTCCGTGGTAATCGGGAGTATTAAAGATTGTAGCACCCAATCCCAATGGGTAACAATTGCGATATCGATTACTTATCAACTACTATTGGTGAGCTTTCACACACGATTTTACTTTGCGATTGGGTATCGCAATTGCTGCAACTAATCACAATGTGATGCTCGTCTGAATGGGGTATAAGTTGACTTTACTACATAAAGTATGGCTTTCATACCATCGCTACAGTTTTTGGCATTACCAGGATGGTGACGGGCAGGGGCCTAGTTTAGCTTTAGATAATACTACAAAAATAGAAATGAGTAGTTATTGTTATTGATACCAATTATTTATTTATTTGCACTGTAGCGCATACAGACCTCTGTATTATGCGCTATACAATTCCACTTATTATTACTAATTGGTATTGGTCATTTGAATCAAGGAACATCTTCATTGCTTAGTGTTATGATTGCCATGAAAGCACTGTGGCGATTGTAGCGATTTTATGGAATCTGGCTTCAGCATGTATGAAAATGAAAGTTTCAGTAAAATTGCTTCAAAGATTAGAGGTATTATATAGTAAGCTTTGGATTTTGATTTTAGTTGACATGGATGATGAACATTTTTAAAAACATAAATGTTTTCTCTATTTTTTGTTATAGTATTGATACCCTCTTTCGCCAAACCATTTGAAACCAATATAAATGTAATTTTTGTTTACCCCACAAATGTATGAAAATGTTATCCAGTAAACTCCAACTTTATTATAAGGTGATTATTGGTGGCTAATTCCAAATGAACTTGACCACACTTAGTTGTGCACACAGGAAATTGTGCATAATTGAAAGGCTATGAAGCCTGATATTACTTACCTGTGAAACCATGTGCCACAACCTGATCAGAGGTACTGTAATGAGTGCAGATCCAACTGGGCTCCTTAATTACCAAAACTCAGTCTTGAAAGTTTAACTGTAATCCTTCATATCTAATGTACAGTATAACCATAATATAGTCATAGTCTAATATAATGTCATAATGATTTAATAATACATAATGTATACCATTTGTAATCATACTGTATGGTATTGGTAAATCATACTTTTACAAATTAATAATGAAATATTGATGAATACATTATTATTGTATAATAATACGGTAATGATACATATATACAATAATAATAAATACATATAACACTGATGTTTAATCATGTATACTGTAATAATAAATAAATTGATAATATACAGCAATACATACATAATAATATTAAATAAATTAGGCAAAATAGAGAGTTTGTGTTCCAATCCACCCAGTTTGTTTTTTCTGACGCTTTTATTAAGGAGCCCGAAATTTGATGTTTGAAAAGGGCATTTTTCAAGCCATAAGTCGGGCATATACATCTAGATGTGTATAAGAGACCGTATGATGACTGCACTCCCTGTGAACCCTAGACGACATGACATTCTGCTGATTGTTGGTGGCAATCTAATCTTATCGTCATTAAAAATGATGCATTGCACACATGTTGTGTCCAGAGAATCATGTGGGCCAATGACTGTCAGGCACAGTGAGTGCCTGGCTTTGGTAAACTATATTAAGTTTTTAAAAATTTAGCACGAAAAATAATGATCATTTGATTATAAACTTTTTTATACATACATATTAAATAATTTTAATAGAAAGTTTGAATTCCCCAAGCCCAAACCAGTTTTTTCTTTGTTTTTTTTCTTTTTTTTAATCCCTGAAATACTATGTTTTAAAAGGGAATTTTTCAAGCCTTAATTAACTAATCGGTTTTTAAAAATTTCACATAAAAAATAATAACCATTTGGCTATCACTGTTTTTAATTTCAGGTTCAAATTTGTTAGTACAAAGACTAATGGTTAAGAAGGGCATTCCAGAACATTGTAAATTCATTTCATTTGATTCAGAGGCTAAGCTGTGTCATGCATCTTATGTAAGTACTGTATTTCATTCTCTAGCTCAGATGTGTTGATTTTATAGATGTATACATTGATTACGAGATTGATTGTCCGCACAATAATTTAAAACATCTAGTTCATCACTCTCCTGCCAGTGATTATTAGTCTTACTCACGTCACCACCTTCAGTGAATCTGACATGCTATCAGACAAAAAACAACGAAAGTTGATTCATGCTGGTGTGGTAGTCATTCACGTTCGGCTAAACCACTTATGCTCAGGTTTCAAATCCTCTTGGGATTTCTTTTTCCTTTTTGAATGGGAGGATTTTTTTAAATTGAGAAATCTATCGGTTGGTGGTGTTTAAGTTTCAACCATGGGGCTTGAAAATGAAGTTCTTTTACGTCACTAAGTTAAAACTCCTGTTAAACTGAAAGAAAAAGTATAAGTAACATATTTTTTAAATTATTTGTTGAACTTTATCATACTGTACTGGTATGATTTCATTATCCCCTACCTTGTCACAGGTAAATGGCATTACTTCTTTTCAAGGTCAGCTAATTATTTACTGTTTGAGGTATTAAGGTAGAGAAGGAGGCTGTAAAATAAATTTAAATTTTCGTTTTTATTTAGTACATTTGTGACTTCTAATCATACATGTATTATTTACTTTTCTTTGAGTTAGTAAACTTTAAAAAAATAATAACATTCAATATTTGATTTTCTTAATTTGTAATAATAATAGTAATAATGAGGTTTTTTAATATAGCGCCCTATAATAATCTCTCAGAGCACTATTTAGGGGTGTCATTTTAAGCCGGCGGCCGGCGCAATCTTCGTCTATTATGATTTTTGCGCCTGCTATTAGAACGCAGGTAAAAATAAAATAGTGGCCTGAAACCTAGGCTCATCATGGGCTGGTCCTTGCCAAGCCCTAACCAATACTTTACTTTTTAAATACAGAATCTAATGTTGTAAATCATATTTCTTGACCAAGCAAGTACTTGTTAAAACAAGAATTTCTATTCTTTCAAAAGCCATTATTGAACAACACACGATCCCCGACACGATTGACGCGACAGCAAGTCAACCCACATGGGGAATCCCCGAATTGGTTCGCATGTATTCTTGTAAACAATTTCGACTCAAAATTGAACAACGGAACAGGCTTGGTTTGATTTTCGTAATATAATTTTGCTGGTTTATTAAAAAACGTAATTTATCTTGGTAAAGTAGTATGTGTTTAAATCATTTAATAAATTTATTATTCATTGTGTTAACTTTTCAAAATATAAGTGATGAGCTTGAAGTATTTGTTTTCTCTGAAAGTATGTAAATTTGTATGATACTTTGAGCTATTTTTTTTATTTTTATTTTTTAATTTTTTATTGGATATCATTATAGTCAGTGTGTGAAGTGATCTTCATTTTAAATTCTAGATTTTAATTTTTCCAGTATCTAGTGATTATAAAGCTTTTTACCTTTGTCAATAAATTCTTCATCTATTTTTATTCAATCAATAAGTAACTGGTATCAATTTTATGAGATAATTAAATAAAACCAGTGCTTAGTTTTTATCAAGAGCATAGTGAGATCAGTTGTATTTTTATACAGTGTTATATTTGGTTTATGGTGACTGACACTTCATCATTTTTCTTTCTCGTCCAGAATGATGTAATTGGCATAGCATACAACTATAATGGCTACATTTTGTGTTTTTTATCCCAGGACTATTTGGGCAACCAAGCTTTGTATTAAAAATTTATATTGTATTATGCATTAGGATAACATTTAATCCAACTTATTACTAGTAATATATAAAATCTGTAATTTATCTTTTCAGAGAAGCTTAGAGGATCATTCACAAATGATTGGAGATACTGAAGTGACAGTAACAGGAATTGAAAGAACCATAAAATCATTGTCGGACCTTCCTACAACGTGGCAAACCTATTTCCTACGTGATGGGTAAGAAATTGTAACAAACATTTTGTAGTAATCTTGTTTATACTTTATTTTTATGTAAGAACGAAATATTCAATTATTGACTATGAAAATGAATTTATTTTTAAAGTTTTCAGTATCAGGAGTCACAAATAGAAGATAACTCATTTTTATTAAAATTGTATATTTGACTAAATATATAACAGTAAAAAGAATTGACAAGGGGCAGCTTACAAGTGTTCACCATAAACCTATATTAGCTGCTCTTTGCTGAGTAATATTAATAATTATATTAAATAGTATAGTATAGCACTTTACATCAAAGAAATAATAATTTGTATGTTAAACTGATTGTGATGCTAGCAAAGAGTATAAAACTGCAAAAAGTCGACTGCCGGGGATTTGTTGGAACGCAAAAAGTACTTCCATGAAGGGGGCGTGGCCTTTAGTTTCCAAATTGTGTGTAGGGTGCCCCCTATTTTGTGCCAGTACATGTAGCGTTCCATTGCCTGCTATGTAATTACATACAAAATTAGGGCAGTCAGACTTCTTACAGTTTTATACTCTTTGATGCTAGGTGTAAGGACTTAACTGCTATTTACTTAAATATTCATTAATAGGTCACATTTATCATGTCCATACTTCTTTTACTGGCCATTGCTTCTACTGTTCATGATTTAGTGAGGTCATCAGATTGACTGTGTTGATCGGTTCATGTGTAGAAAACATGCTCAAACCTGATGCAAGGTTTTTATATTTGAACTTGTGGTAAAGCCTGCAGTGTGTAAATCTTGGGTGCAAAAAATCAGGGTACATGAAAACACCCCCAGTGTTACTGTAGCGCAATGGAATACTGCTTCTCATTCATCCCCTGACGTTTCATAAGTTCTCTGACATCGTAAAATGTAATCGGGTTAATTTACTGTACTTCATTAGATGTTATTAGCGATTCAAAATCTAGGTCATTCTAATCACATTTGATAAATATCAGGCTAGAACATGAGAAGAACACGCTGATTGATAACGTGGCTAGGAATGTTGTTTCCATTTGCCCTATTGTTTTTAGTAATTAATATCATCCTTATCACTGGCTTTAAAAAGTCTGTTAATTATGTTGGTCATGGTGTGTGCGATAGTGTTTGCCCTTTTTCTTATGAATTTGAAACTGATAATTAACTTTTTGATGTTTGGAAAGATGTTAAAGTGATTGTAGGTTTATAATTTTTTCCCAAAGGAGGTCAATAAATTATGAATTATCAATGAATATGGTATGTTCAAAACCACATAGTGCAAAAGGAATATCAAGTGGAGTAGTCCACTTGTTGTAAACCAATCAGATCATCAGAGTCACCATCACTGATACAACAGCCTATTAGCAATACCTTCACAATATGGTCATGCATTGTGTGGTCACATGTTCTTTAACCAATCAAAATATTGTATGAAGGAAATCTCAGTTGAATGTTGACAGCTACCATGTACCATGAATTATAAATATCAGTGCTCAGTACTGTGCATTCTGATTGGTGGGTTTCAACTTTATGAGGAAGGAAAAATATATATAAGTTCAATCTAAGCAAAGTAGTAATTCTTGATTACATGACAACTCCACTTCACAAAGCTGAGATACTCTATCATACAGACACTGATTAGAGTTGTGTGCATTGTCTGACCTAAAAACACATAAAAACACATGATTCCTTTGGTCTTAACACTCTTACCGCCAGGGGTTTGAAAAAATAATATCAGCCACCGCCAGAATTTTTAGCATATTTTAACACTTTTCCGAAGCTTGTTGAGAGTGCATATGTGATCAGATCGATATGTAGTGAATACTATAAGAACTACAAACATTAGCTTTACAATGCTACCAAACACTTTATTTTAATCACAATCTGTGACCTGTAACAGTAAAATGAAAGTGACTCACTTTTGGAGATTTACACAATTTTGTACATGAAGCTGAGATAATTGCGATTTCGTGAAAGTAAATCAATACCACTCTAAGCTAATGTAAACAAACAAATACAGTAACATCTCCTAATTACAAACCTCCCAATTACGAACTCTCAATTTTACGAACCCAATTAATTACGAACTCTGTTCGGATGGAGGGGTATGTAATTGGAAGATGTTACTGTAGTGAAATACTTACGGTTCAGACTGAATATAGTGTTAAAATTGTAGTACATGTTGGTAATCACCCCAACTATCTGATTCCATTAAAAAACTTGAAACATGGAGATCTCCGTGTTTGGCTGGCAGAGTGTTAATGAAGCATACACACTATCCTTAAGTATTTAGTGAAGTCTAATGAGTGAGATAGACAAGTATTTAATGTATCGCTGACTTTGGCTGAGATTATTATATTTGGAATATACAGTGTATTTATTCACATATCTTCCATTTAAAGATATTGCAATAAACATTAATAAAGTGTACAGTTATCAAAATACTGTCAATAGCAAGCATGCGATGATAATGAAGTGAATAAACAAAAAAATTAAAATGCTATATTTTCTTTATTCCATGATTGATTCCATGATTGACTAGGATGATATTGACTTTCTATTGTTTTTAAGTCATATCAGAACACTATATTTCATTTTAAAACCTCCATGTACAAGGCATCACTAATTTACAATATAAATTTAACTTCATTTCAAGTGTTGTCGATTTTTTTAACAGGAGGATGAGCAGTAGAGTTCAGATTGGTTCTCCTGTCACAATGCGACTTCTTCGTGTTCCTCCTCCACTAGAGAAGGAAGAGGTTCGAGAAAAACCTGCTGTTGCCAAGAAACCGTTGCATTGGGAAGATGATATGCAACTTTATTCCAAATTCCTTGACAGAAAGGTATATGCTATGCACAATTATACAACAGGATTTAAAGCATTTCATTACTAAATCTGTTTTAAAATTTAGTATAAAAAATGTATGTTTGTCAACATAATGACATAATATATCAATGTTATTGAACCATCTTCCAAAGCCATTACTTTGGGTAATTGATTTATTAAATAATTGACTATAAAGTAACTGAAAAAGTTTAATTACATATTTTATTAATACTAACTTACAATTAAAATCTGAATGAGGAAAATATTTCATCATCAATTATTGGAGAGTTGAATAATAACATTATTGTATTCTTTTGCATAGAACCTTGAGTTGGCTATTACAGTAATCAATTTAAGGATTTGTGTAGTACTGTAAGTGTCTATAAAGCAGCAAAAACTACTTTTTGTTTGTTTATATAAAATAGATTATTTGATCCATTTTAATGACTATTCAATACTTTATTGAATTTTTGTTGTCCTAATTTCTTTTTTGCAAACATCTTTTACATACATTACTACACCAATTAATACTTCAATTATGATTTTCTCTTTTATTTGCAGGAAGAATTGAAGGGGGATCATGCCACATATATGAGACACCACCCTGAGCTTAAGGCACTTCTTGCTGATTTTCTCCAATTTCTACTTCTCCGCAAACCCGAAAATATCGTAGCTTTTGCTTCTGACTACTTTTCCGCGTTCTCTCCATCAACCAAAGAGGGCAATCCTTATGCCACATCTGGTGAGGCCCGTTACATTCCACGCCCGGAATCTCCTTTCAAGCGCACATCATCATCGGGATTCCCCTCCTAGTTTACAAAAAGTATAAACCAACAGAAAAAGAAAAGAATAAATACAAAATTATACCAAGTTTATTTTGATTATAATTACTTGATCTGTTTTATCTGTTCTTTTAGAGTGCAATTAATATTTGATTAATTAATAATTAATTGAACCACTCTATATATATAGACATTTCTTGCATGATGAATGTATAATGATGTAGTGTTATGTTCCTATTGAATATCTTACTGTACATGCTTTAGGTAAGAAACACAACTATTTGCCTTCCATGTTACAATCTTGTGTCCTACCTTTACCTCAGATTCAGAATACAGCTTGCATGAAAATTGTATTAATAAGTCTTTCAGGCTTTGAAGAGGCTCATGATCTTCTTGTTAATTTCTTTTGTTCAAGTCGCATTTGTTTCACAGTTCTCTTAAGAAGTATATTTTTGTTGTTCATATTCCAAATTCTCTGCTTCAGAATTCAAGGAACAAGAATTTGAAAACTGAAAAGAAAATGTAATTTTTATATGCAGCGTTTATTTAGCCGGTAGTGTGCCTATTCATTTACAAAGCATTTTTGTGATGATTAGTGAGGGGTGCACTCCAACCCTACCGTTAAGTATAGGCAAATTCAAGTTTTAGATAGCAGAATAAGCACTTTGTTTTTATTAAGTAATTTCTTCTTATGGAATAACGATTGTGTCTTTCATAGTAGTGATTTTATGGCAGTGAAATTAGGATATTTCTTTGTATTTCTAAGCATTAGGGATGTTTACAAAACATGTACCTTCTAAGAAACGAGTTATTTTGCAACTCCTGCTTAGCAACAGCCAATTGTAGAGAAACATAGGTTGAGTAGGCAAGCCCTGTTTATTAAGCATCTCTTTCTGATTGGTCAGTTGTTCTCTTTAATAGACCTAGGTTTAGAACCTGAATTTCTTAATAGTTGACTATTCACAGGTCAAAATATTCACTTAAACCATCCGTAGTGTTAACAAATGTTATATTTGATGCTGTTTTTCTTCAAATTTAGTTTTTCATCTAGGCTTATATTCTAACTTTATGGTAATATTATGGTATCAACACTTTTTAAAGCAAAATAGAGTTTGTCTTATGTATCGAATGATATGGGAATATCGACAATTTGGTATCCGGTGCAAAAAAACTTGTTTTGTGATGTGATGTAAAGTGTTCTGAAGAAATGTTATAGTGTTGCCAAAAATAAGTTAATTATAAGTACACAAATATTTTATATATATATTTATAAACAAATAGTTGATTGTACTGATGGAAACACCGTGCTGAAATACAGAAACAAATGATGTTATGTTAAGCCAGGCATTCACTGCACACGACGGTCTAGGCCGGCGCGATTCTGTGAAGAACGCAACGCGATGACGCGTGTGCAACGGATCATTTTTAATGACGATCCGTTCAGATTGCTGCCAACATCAGCCGTGCGACGGTCGTACAATGCAGGAAGTGCCTGGCATACGTGTTGAGCATAGCTCTTCAACTAAAAGTTCTTATCAGTTGTGTGAAAAAGTGCTTCCAGCAGGTACTGTAAATGGACCTGCGAATTTTGCTTTTGAATTTAGTGTCATACTGTACCATTAGACCACAAAGGCCTGTTGGTGTATCGGATCCAATACAGGCAGATTATCCCCATACACAACTGATATACGATTCACTTAATTGAGCCAAAATTTTAGACCTCTACTGATGGCATAGATTTAAAATGTATAACCTATTACTCTGACGGCTAAATGTTCTCATAGTTAAATATATTAAATTATATTATATTATATTAATGCAAGTTTGCAAGTCCTTTAACTTTCATGTAAGTTGTGACTCACAGGACCAAATTCAGAAAACATCTTTTCAGCCTACAAGCAAGAGGATAAAATGGCAAGAGGGTCAACTCTTGGGTTTCCTTTGAAACTAAATCCTATCTCGAAAATTACAACTACGACTTGGAGGGCAATCTTCAAAAGAGATGATATAACGTAAAAGTCGTTCGTATCGTATGGGCGCCTCCTATCTTGTGGTAGTGCTGCATTTTTTGTTCCATTGCTTCCATGCAAAATTTGGACAGTGGCATCTCTTGCCATTTGATACTGTTTGCTACAAGTAGCTCAGCAATTAAATTGAACCAAAAACCCTAATACTGTATATTCATGGTCCAATACATACACAATGGCTACCACCGGTTAAGCAGACTAACGTAGACTGATCCAGAATACTGTAGTTCTAGTTTTTTTAACCCTTGTACTATTTAGTGATTATTAAAATTTTAGATGCCATTTAATGTATTATTATTTAACATTATAAAGTCAATTTTGTATTTATTTATTTATGATGCTATGATAATACAATACATTTGAGTCCCAATAAAAAGTTTTGTAAAAAGTTACATGATATACTGTAATTAGATTGGGAGATGTGAACAAAATTGCAAATGCATTATCTTATTTTTCTATTTTCTCCCTCATACTGTGCTTTCAATTCAAAATTTAAATGTATTGCCCAAATTTAAAGAATAAATTATTATGGAAATGAAAATTGTCTCAATATGTATTTAAAATGTATGGGAGAATTTTTCGTATTCTCATAGACCCTAGTGTTTTCTTGTACAGATCTACGAATCAACTGTGTACATACGTGTATAGACAAGCACTTGCATTTTACATTAGTAGTTTTGTAGTTGCATAAATTGATGAATTTGTTGTAAATAAATATGCTATCTTATTTATTTTTTTGTATGATTATCACACAGAGCTATAATAAATGTGGAAGAATGGAAGATAGGTTAAGATAGAAATCTTACACTTTTTTAGACAAATGTTGTTTTGTTGACCGGAATATCAACATATTTGTGAGGTGTTGTCGAAGAAAGCATTATTGATGAAGATCACATATATTTCGTCTTTGATTTAATCAGTTGTTCCTAGGTTGATTATGAGTAAAATAGTTTGTAAATTCATATGTCTAAAATTATATGTCTATTTTATGAATGCTTTAAACCAACTAACTGCCTTCATTACCGAAATGAATCACCCCTTTGAAACAAATACAACAGTCCATCCCAGTGTAAAAGGTGCTTTTAATTCAATCAATGTTGAATAGGGAATGAGGACTTGTTTGAACTGCCTTCATTACCGAAATGAATCACCCCTTTGAAACAAATACAACAGTCCATCCCAGTGTAAAAGGTGCTTTAAATTGAATCAATGTTGAATAGGGAATGAGGACTTGTTTGAACTGCCTTCATTACCGAAATGAATCACCCCTTTGAAACAAATACAACAGTCCATCACAGTGTAAAAGGTGCTTTTAATTCAATCAATGTTGAATAGGGAATGAGGACTTGTTTGGGAGACGGTTCGTACATGATGTGTTTGGACAGACTGTTCTATTTTGTTTCAAAGGGTTGTTACATTTTAAAAACAATAGCAATTATTTGATTTATTCAGGTAAAAATCTCACTCGTAGAGTACCAACATCACGGTTGATTTGTGTATATAATAAGAAAGTTACAACTAACTTGCTTTGCTATTGTGAAATCCCAGAGAAACTAATTTGTCAAAACATACAGTCATATTTTCTTGAATGTGTTATAATGACCTAGCATACGATACTACTCATTTTGTCACAATACCTCACATTTTGTCTACAGTTTGTTAACAAGTATTGTAGGGATGCTCTCAGTTGCACTCTGAAACATAAGTAATAATAATTATGTCAAATTCATATAATAGCGGAAGATGCACAAAATATTTTCAAGGCTTTGTCTTGATGCAAAAGATTCATAGCTAATGTGGGTAGAAGTTCATTCCGAATCTTTGGAGCAATGGTAAAAAATGGTAACCTCTCAAATCCCACTGATTGAGCATTTATGTTAATAATTATAGTGTAGTTTTATATAGCGCACAAATCCATCTAATGTAAGATGCTCAGGACGCTTGAAATGTGGACTAGGAACTCGATCAATGTTCTATAATACCTGATTCATGTCATATGTTCTGTAGATTGGATTTGGAGGAATAATACAGTATATGAATTTGTATCCAAAACAACAGAGAAAAAAGTGTTACACATCCCATGCTACAGATATTTTACATTGCATCCATTATGTAAGATTGGTAGGCATCCTGTGTAATATTCTTGTAAGAAAAACATGTATACATTACAGAGGCAGAGCCGTAGATAGAGAGAGTTTGGCCAACTTGGCACATGGACGCCGTGTCGTTGCCAAACAGCCCAAGCGCATGCGCGCGTATAACTTTAATGTTTTGTTTTGGTGACAACATGGCCGATGTAAGTCATGTGATTGCGATCCACCCAATCACACGCGTGTATATCGAATCCCGTGAAACAGAGTTGGCCAAACTCTCTCTATCTACGGCTCTGTACAGAGGCCTGTAACACCGCCAAGGTATCTCGTACAGAATGTATCTGTACGCATGCTCACAGGATGCAACTTATCTTTTATGTTGCATCACTTACATCTGTATTGCCAGTGTGTAAACTGTACCATGTTTAGCAAGGTTTACATTGATGTTGTTAAGATGATGGTAATTTGGGTAGAAATACCCTGAGAGGTCCTTGTAAAATTTAGCAAATAATTAAATCTCTTTTTTTTTCTTTTGTGAAAAGGGGGTGTATGATTGTCATGATGTCAAATATATTCATAGTTGGCAGTTAACATGTTTCATAAATTGTTCTTGACTAGGTGATACTGTATAGCCTAATTTCTAAACAAAAGTTTATATTAAAATTGTTAATTGTTTAGATTTTTTGTCAGCATCAAACTAACGCAGCCTACCTGTTACTGTAATGCTCTCGAAAGCTTGTTTAGCTATTTTAAATCTGTATGAAATTTGTACGCTTACTTAAAACAAAAAGCATTATTAAATATAAATAACAAAACTACCGAGTGTTGCTTCAGTCAGTCATGTTATTTCAATTTCCTCTTAAATGGCAGATCTATAAATATTGAGAAGATGATGCAGCGCTAGGAGGCAATTCTATTCCACACTGTAGTGATGCATCTAGAGAGTGCACGGGAACCCCCCCTCCCAATATACTTGCGTTCTACTAGTTCCCCCAAAATAAATCGCGTTCAAGTACCCAAAATCACCTTATTTTGTGATCTAGCACCCCTCACCTTATCATCGAGCCCACCACGTGACCTTTGCAATCTCCCATCAGGGGCCCTCCCCTTAATTTCTAGACTCTTAGGTATGCCACTACTACAACACTGCACCCGATACATGGCCTTAAAGCTTGTTCTGGCATGTACATCCTAAGATTGTGGGGAAAAAGTGGGCAAACTTAGGATTCGCAAATTGGAATATGGGTAACATTTTATGTAGAGGGCTATAATTTGTTGGTACATACTTTACAGTACCTCAGTTACTCGCTTTTAATTGGCCGAAAGTTGCATTAGCGCGTCATCGGGCACAGTTACCTATCACCACGGCGCCATCGTCTCGGATGTACGTGTTGTCGAGTGTGTTGGAAGATTTTTGACACCTTTATGAAGTTAAATGCCTTCATTCCTTTCAGCACCGTGAAAAAAGAATCCATTTGACGCATAATCGTGCATTCTTTCAATTAAGGTAGGCTACTTAGACGAGAGTGAGGTGCAAAGTCTCACGCGATGGTCTTGCTAGGCCTCTATTTACTAGGCCGAGCCTAGGCCCTACTACTAGGCCTAGTAGTAGGCCTACTACTAACTTGACTAGGCCTAGCTTAGCCAGCCTAAGCAGGCCTAGAAAGTATATAGGTCTAGTCTAAAAGGAGGAGGCATATATTTATGTCCTAGGTAGACTAAAACTGCTGCTCAACTGAAGCTAGCCCAGGGCCTAGACCTATTATTATAAATATTATATTAATGCAGGCCCACGTTCTTTTTTTGTGAAAATATAGGCCTAGGCCTAGGTAGGCCTAGGAAGACTAGGCTTATGTCATGATGATACTACTATTACTACTACTAGTAGACTAGGCCTACTGTACCGGAGCTTTGACTACTCTAAACTGTCTTGGTATAAAAACATTAGGCCTAGGCTAGATCTATTACCTAGGGCCTACTAGGCCTAGGCCTATGTGAGAGTAGTCTAGGCCATAGCATAGGCCTAGGGCCCATGGACAAATATAAAAAGGAAATCCACACAGAAGTTAGGGCACATAGAAAAAAATTATTAGATTATCACTCTTTAAAAAAAAAAAAAAATTGATGAGGGACAGCGGTACATTAAATGATTTCGCTTTTGTTTTTATCGATGAGGAAGGGACTGTTTATATTTTAGCCTGTACCCGGGAAGGTAATAGTAAATATTGTATAAAAACTGGTTTAATTTTATATTTTTTTAAAGAAAATGTATATGAAGTCACTAAATTGCATTGTTATTTTATGCTGTTGAAATAATTGATGCGGCAAAAACAATTTTTTTTTATTCCCGCATCAATATTTTCGAATTTTTTAAGCGGGCGGGAGTGATAATCTAACATATTTTTCTATTTGCCCTTATGACTGTGCTCATTATTGTTAATGATACCATGAAGCACAGCAAATCAAATTGGATGCTTGGATGCAGCCAAGGATTGTCTTAGAAACTTCCAATTGAATTTTTAAGGGGTATCAGATTTTACCATACTATTATATGACCTTTTTTGAGGGGGAACCAACAGCTCTGTCCATACTTGTCACTGAGAAAATTTGACAAGTAATATACCTAGTTGAGAGGTGGCTTCCTTCCTCCACTTACTTATGATATTCGATAGAGTCATATAGTCTGGATATTGTATTAACTGTACTTGTGTGAATTAATATACAGTGCAAACTTGAGATTTTAGAGATTTAGAATTGTCTATCACAGATTATATGTATTTGTTCTGATTCTAACTCATATCTTTTGAGCCATATTCTATTGGTTCATAACTTCATTTTGAAGTATATATCCTCCTGTTTGTTTTGAGTGAGTAGTTTATGTCCTTCAATGTATTTGAGTCCTGCCAAGTCTCAGTGAAGTTAAAATAATAAATCTTATATTATTATTACAGTATTATTTAGAAAAAAATACTGTAATACTTTTTCAGGTGTTGCTACGGTCATTTATTTTAGTTTGCAACTCATCTTTTTCATTTTTGTACTATTTTTTTTTGCAATACTGTAATTGATTTATACCAGTAGGTCTACTGTACATTCTAGGCACACATTACTCTCCATAACGCAGCACCCCCTAGTTCCGTCACCTCTGGGTAGACAGTTATTATATAAATCAATTAAAAACAATGCTTTTAACTAATTTTGTTTGTCACTCTATAATAACCTATAGCATGAATTAACATTCCATATTCATGTACAACTAGAGCTACATTATGGTGCTCATGTATGCATGACATATGTGCGCGATGTAAGCAGCTACAATATCTTTACTGCACAAGGGTAAGACATTTTGTGAATTGTGTCCCGAAGTGATAAAACACAAATAATGTCAATCATATCATTTATTTTACCTTAAAAAAAAAATTACAAAGTTGGCACAAGTGCCAGAAATTCCAAATGTCATTCGTAAGTTTACCGCACAAAAGAGCTATGCTTACGCAAAATACTCATGAACATAAGCAGATAGCTCTCATACGTGTGTGCCAGGGTTCAAAGTCCTGCAAACACCATGGTTTTCTTTCTCAATTTAAGTTTTGAGAATGTCAGTTTTTTTGTTATCCTTCGGTGCCAATTGAAGTTAAGAAACATTAATATTTAATGTCCTGGCATCACTATAATTTAAATTGTGATGCTTATCAGTAAACAGTTTTGCTGGTCTTGTACTGTACACTACAATCTTATTTCAGTTCAGTACAAGTAATGAAGACAGTTGAAAGCACTGATATGTCCACCTACGAAGACATTAGTGAAACACAAGATAACAGCTTTGAAGCATATCATCAAGAAAAGGTAAAGTCTGTTAAAGAAAAAAAAATGATGTACTATATAGTATTATACATACTCCAAGTGTTAAAATATAGTATTATGTTTTTGCTGTTTTATAGTCTCAGGCAATGTTATACAGGTCTACATTGGATACTATAATACATGCCTATACAGTTTGTCAAATAGTATTCATTTTAAAAATTGACAAAAACTTTTGGGTAGATCAGGTGTTACCATGCAATTCAGTTCTAATTTCATTATTTGTGATTGAAACAAAATGAAATGAAATTAACTTGTTAACTCGTCTGTACACGCAAAGCTACATACATTTATACTGTATGGTGCTATCAGATTGATTTTATGGTTGCTAATACTTTCAAAATTAAATGACATTTTCAATACGAATATTTACAATATATAGACTCATACGGTTATATCTGAGAAACCTTTGTTTATGTTGTTAAATTTCAGAATCCAAGCCCTAATAGCAAAGAGCCTTGCAGCGGAATCCCACAATTAAATGAGGGCGAGAATGTTGGTGATGATACACTAGCTTCAGTGTCTTTGTCTACAGAGCAACAGCAGTCACAATGCTCTGCTGACACTCTTCAAAATGGCTCCATGTCCACTACACGTCAACACCCACCTCAACATGAATTCATCGGTTCAGTTATTAAAAGTAGGTTCATAATCATTATTTGCAGGCAGTACATCTGTATATCAGTGGCTGGATGTTCATGTCAAATGGAAGTTTTTAAGCTCACTAGCGGTGGCTCTAGGATATACATTCACAGAGAGGGGTCTAAGTTTGTTTTTTTTCTTTAAGTACTGTATATAGTAAAGAACATCCAGACTGAGTGAAAGATTGAAATGTTAAAAGAATCTAAATTTATAAAGATGAAAGAATCGTTTACAATACAATATACACAAGTCACAAACAAGCATAGCACAAAAAATACTATGACACAAATTATGTTTGGGAAAAATTAGGTATATATAAGTAGTAGAGGTTGTGTAAGAGGTGAAATTTGCTAAAACATGAATAAATGTTAAGAAAAATCATCATTACCATCTTTCTAAATAATATAATCTGACATTCCATTGCAGTGATTAATGATGACATCAAGATGTCAATTGAACATTGGTCCAGCAGTTTTATGTGAGTTTTCTTTTTTTTTCTTTTTCATTTGAAGAAGTGCTTTCTATTATGAGTGTTCCTCTAATAATTGAACTAATGATTTACAGTATTATCAGGTGTACAGGACTGTTAATATGAACATCAATCACAAAATATAACAATTATAATTTTATTTATTATGTTTTTTACTACTGTCAATTGTTATGGCAAACGATTGCAATACAAAATTACAAACAGAAGTTTGCTAGAGACCCCAGCTGGCACTCTATGGTTCATGCTTTATTGTCTGTTTCAGATGATAAATTTTATGATATTGCACTCCATATATTTTAATGTAATTTTCAAAAATTAAAGGGGCATGCGCCAGTTGCTTCTCCAACCATTCATTTTAATGTAATTTTCAAAAATTAAAGGGGCATGCGCCAGTTGCTTCTCCAACCATTCCTTTTGAATCTGCTTATGTAAAATTCCTTACGTAGAATGTTTTTAGATTATTTTATGGTAACAATATATCACATAAAATATATAATATCTATGGTGACTCGCTGCAAGTTACTGGTCTCAATAGGTATACTGTACAGTTAAAATATCAATACTAAATAATTACTCTTCTTTTCTTTCAGTGAAAGTGATGAATACGAGTCCTTTTCATTAAAACAACTTGATCAATTGTTAGTACAAGCTGAGGCAATTGAGAAAGATCTATTAAACCAGAAAGAAGTACTTCATAAGCGCCTTATTGATTTATCAAATGCCTTGAAAGTGTAGATATGCAATGACATAGCATCTTGTAAATTAAGGTAAATTGGCAAATCGTCATTAATGTATGTGTACAGTATTGACTTTGTTTTACCGGTACTTAAATTACACAAAAATATTTTCTTTTCTTTCCCCACAATATCTTTTTTTCTAGATTTAAAAAGGTTATTGATTAGAGTGCCAATCAATACTGAACTGATAAAAATAAATTTTATGTTCCCTCAAAGTTGTTCGGCAATGATGACAAGGGAATATGTGATGTGATGGCATTTAACAGAAAACCTGTTAATATCGATCTTAAATCCTTGGATCATGCATGTTCAATGGTTAAAGATCAAATCTAGATCTATAAATGAACTCGAGGGCCTAATGAATTGATATTACCCATTCTTTTTATTAAAACATCTGGAAATAGTTTAAGTTTAAATAATTATCTGTTATATTTCATCTATTCTAAGTAGTGGATGTTTGAATGTTTAAAAGAGAACTAGGAAGGACAATGATGTAAAAAATATCCATCCAATAGAACTTTTATTAATTAATCATTAACATGAGAGTTATTAACAGCAATGTTAATATTGTATAAAATGAAATTTGTTATTTTCTTAATCCCTTAAAAATATACGCCGTGGCTAGGATACGGTACCATATCTTATCTTCCATTTGCTAAAGGTGTGGTAAATTACATCATCCAATACAGTGCCGCCAACGGTGTGGCGTCATTGTTGATAGAGACAAAATGCAGAGGAAGTTGGTGTAGTAACATTTAGAACCATACTTTATCTATCTTGAATATGAGTTAATCCTGTTACGGCACTAACGTATCCCCCGTCACGGTCTTACAAATATACATTTAAAACAATATTAAACATTAAGCATACAAGTATTTATTTACAGTAAAGGACCTCCCATTATATTTACAAATCTCATATTTGTGAAGCAATAATAATCAAGTTATTTAATATTAGGGATTGTTAATGTTATTATATTACGTAACAACTACACTGTACAATAGCCAAGACTGTAAATAACGTTTTTTCCCTGATAACATTTGATTTAACCTGATGTAAAATTATAACTCCAAGTAGGGAAATGTTGAATCCCAACATGATGCCGTGTATTACATTTCTTGGATTTTGATTTGAATTTTTTATTGGGTTCACTTTTGAATCAATGCCACCCATCATATTAGTGACTGTGCACAAATAAACTTACAAAACAAAAAGAAGGTACTAAACTGTTCTCAACACTGTTCTTCATAACACTAATTATTAGTTGCATAACTAATGGAGTATTATAATATACTTCACAAAATAGGTCAGGACCCCGAGTCAGGCCAAATGTTACACGATATCAGGAAAAGGTAAAATTAATTATACCATCCTTTCTCATACGAAAGCTAACACATTGTTATTGTATAGGCCTACAGTCTTGGCTATTGTACAGTAAAGGTGTTATGTAATATATCTTTGAGTGGCATTTTTAATTTTATTTACTGTATTCATGTTTTGGCGAGTTGCTCAATTATGGACTTGTTTTGTGCTCTGTGAGTTTCACGTTCTCTTATGTTGCTTTTGTATAACAACTCGGTAGAAAAGCAGGCTTACAATGAAGAATTTTTGAACGATATTGTTAATCTGGTGGCGCCATTTTATTAGATAATGCAATTTACCGTACCTTTAACAAACCGAAATTAAGATATGGTACCATATCTCTAGCCACAGCATTAAAAATATCTGTAAAATTGTTTAATTAAAAGATTAGTTTTATGAAGAACTTGGAATTGTCATTACTTGTAGGCAAATTAGTTTTAGTAGTTCCTTCTGATAATCTTTACATCAAACACCAATAAATTCCCCACTCCAGAACCTCATTGGAATAAACCTCCCAGGCGTGCATTATTTTCTTGAATAAACTATTAATATTCTACTCCAGTAAAATTACATTTTTTCTAACCTGGTTGGGATCAAAAAGTCTTTATGAACATGCATTAATACATTTTGATGGTAATTATGCTTCGCATAGTAGTTTCACATTGACAGTAAAATAAAGGGGCATTTGTTTGAGTATATACATATCCATTTTTCTCAGGAAAACGCCTCCCTCAAATAAACGCCTCCTCAAAACCCTTCTCAAAAATAAACGCCCCGGGGCGTTTTCAAATAAGTATGATAATAACTTGAACAAATTCAATTTAGTCATTTAAGTGTTCATTTTTTTAAATCCTTTAAATTGATTCCCTGTCAATCTTTAGAGACTTTATGCAAAGAATATAAGAATGGTTTATTTTATGCATCTGCATAAAATATGTATGTTATTAACATACATTAATACACAAAGCAAGTTCAGTAATTCAAATATCCATTTTTTGATGTACATTTGCTCAACACGATAAGTTTTTAATGCTGTGTTTTGCTGTTGCTGCTTTCTTGTATCAGCTTTCATCTCAGTTGGTAGAACCAAGTCTTCTCAAGGACATAAAACCAGAGGTCCAATGTGCACATCTGGTTTGTGTGTACTGTTTCAGAAGAGTAGGAAGATTACCTGAATGCTATGGTTCATTTCAGCCCCTGCCATTATGGCATGAAACTAGCCAAAGCCTCTCCAACAGCTGTTACAGTAGTCATGGACTATGCCCAAACATATTTTAGCACAATGACACTGCGAATTATGGATTATTCTACCTCTAACTCATCAGACAATTGCAATATGGTAGCATAAATCATTTCTCCATCAATACACAGTTTGTAAAGTGCACTGCAAATAAATCCATTATTGTTACTGTCCACTTTTTACCATACATGGTGACTGCCCTGCTCTTAGGAATTATCAGGGAATAGTCCTGGAAACCAAAACAACCTTCCATCATTATTCTGATCATCAACCCAAGCCAGCCCTTCTTTTACCATGTGATCCTAAAAGGCAAATAAAATAAAAACATTTCAATTATTAAATCTTGAAGAAAAACATTTTCAACTTCATGTAAATATTTGAAACGTCTTTCTCAATAACTTGCAGGACCCACTAATATTCTAAAGCTCTGTCCAAACTATCAAATTTTCTTTGACAAAAAACTGTTGTATGCCCATGATGTGCCTATATATGGTCATGATGTGCCTATATATGGTCATGATGTGATGTCATCATGACCATATTTAGGCATGTCACATGTTTTTGTCAAATAAAATTGTATAGTCTGGACAGAGCTTTACATTATTAGTATACAGTTAATTAAATACAAATAGCACAAATTAACAAATTATATCATTAAACAAGCTTTCGAATACACAGTGGTCTTCATCAGGTGAATATGTGACACTTAAGCCTAATGTTATGTTATTAATGAGGCATGTCGTGAAAAAATGGTTCAGTTGTCAAACAGGCCAGTATTGAGTAAATGAGCTATAAAATATAGCAGCTAAAAAAAATGGCCTAAAAATCTAATTTTTTCTTTAACTATATATTAACTGTTTAATATCTACCACATGACGACAATTATTTTTATATATTATGGCGCATTAAAGGAAATGAAATGAAACTGTTTAGTATCTAATTAATCATGTCCCAAAGTCTGAGTTCTGGAAATGGTCAACAAATCGTTTATTTAATGTTATTTTAGTAGTTATTTCTATTAAACAATCTATGCACCTATAACTTTGGAAGGCAATTACTCAAAATAACGATGCAGTGAGTGGCCAGCTTTAGAGTGCTGTACTTTCACTTCTCAATAAC